TATTTGTTGTAGGGAAGTCAGCTTGGACTTTCTTCAGCAACAGAATGTATCCTGCAACTCTGCTTCGGGCAGCTGTGGGCTCATCTGAGCCATCCGACAGCATCTCTGTGGAAGAGAAATTGTCTGTGAGTGGATATTGCTCTCCTTTTTAAAAAAGTCCTCACCATGTCTCATGGTCATCAACTTTTTCTTTTTGAGATATGGTCTCACTATGTAGGCTGGCCATGAACTCCCTCTGTAGCCCAGGCTGGCCTCCAACCTGCAGTGATCCTCCTGCCTCAGCCTCCTGAGTGCTGGGATTACAGGTGTGCATGAGCCATAATACCCAGCTCATTAACTAATTTAATACAACAAATAACTTAACCTTGGTATCACTATGAGCTATTGAATTTGGACTTCTAAGAACCTGGGAACTGGACTCTCGAACTTACTGTGATTTGATGAAAAATCAGAAAGAAATCCGTCTCCCAAGAAAGAGCTCCTAGGGCAGATTTGCCTGTGTTGTGCAGTTTAACTATCGTTACAGAGTTTGTTAAGGAAGCTTGGCAGATTCTTATTATTAATTGGTTCTGCAATACATATTTAAATAAGTTATTTTATGTTTTGCCGATAAATTTTATACTGATGTTTACTGATTTTCCAAGATATTATTTCTTAGATTTTGATATTTATATAGCTGTACATACACACTAGGTGGAAACACACCTATGACGAGTGTGAGACTTTGTGTGAAAATTGTACACATGCACACCCCGCTAGCTGCCTGACTCCCTGGGCTGAGGGGGTGGCTGGTGGTTCTGCCCTGCCCCGCCTCCTGGATGCGTGTAGCCGCTCTCTAGCCTCACTTTGCTGGGCCCCCTGGAGCTTTCGGAAGACCTTCACCCCGCCAGCAACACAAGTTCCTGTGGTTTACAAGCCCTCAAGTGCTCGTTTTGTTAGCACAGTATTTAATGCATAAAGACAGGATTATTAAGATTTTTCAAAGAGTACGAACATAAATGCAGCGCTGACTTTTAAAACTAAAAGAATCGGCATAATGTTAACTTTTACAGATAACGCTCGGATACACTGGGAAACTTTTTGTTCACAGATTGTCTTGTTTACAAACTGCCTAATAAAAATTGCGTTTCTTTATGAGGTTTTTTTTAAGTATGACTTTTTAAATGTCTTAGAAATTAAAGTGTTGCAAAAAGTGAAAGAAAAAATTACACTCAGGGTTTTAACTACGCAAAATAAGGGTTCCTTTTAGGCTTTTGCTTCCTCCTGGGCCTCTGCTATGTGGAAGGGTGGGCCTGGACTCCTTTAAATTCCCTTCCTGCTCCTCGAAGGTTCTGCCTGTACAAGACACTTTTTTTTTTTCTTTTTGAGACAGGGTCTTGCTGTGCAGTTCAGGCTGGCCTTGAGCTCACTTTGTAGCCCAGGCTGGTCTCGAACTCACAACAATCCTCCTGCCTCAGCCTCCCGAGTGCTGGGATTACAGGCATGCACCACCACGCCTGGCTACAAGACACTTAACATTTCAGAATGAGGTAGTGTGTTCCTCTGCCATCCTGGCTCAGTACATGATGTCACACTGACTCCAGGTAACCCTGCTTCCTTTGTGTCACCAACATCACCCCAGAAAGTTTCCAGGCCTTCTCCCCTGTCCTCTAACAAGAATTCCAGATCCCCCAGCCTCTACCTTGGGGGCAGGAAGGGGAACAAAATGAGTGTCCTGGACTGTTAAATGAGGGCTTATCCCAAAGGATGGTTGGTAAGAGAAACACTAAGAGATTCTTGGGACACGGGTGAGGAGCACGTCAAACCGGGCCAACGGCGCACTGGTAAATGGCAGAACCCACTGGACAATACCAAGATGTCAGCTGGGTAGGCCTCAGACTCTCCCCAGTGCTTTGGCTCTGGGCCGTAACGGTGTAGACTCTGCCCAGGGCTTGGTTTCTCCCGCACATGCAGTCTATACATCCACTTCTCTCCTGGTGAAATCATGCTGTCTAATCTCCGAGAGCAAAAGCTCTGTCAGAATGTACTTCAATCTTTTCACGTAGGGCTGAAGTCAGTGGGGCTTTTTTTTTTTTTTTTTTTCTGCGAGCTGACAGCTGAGTATTGTCACCTTGATTTTCTTCAGTGTAGTCTATACAACTCATGTCTATTTTGCGCAGTCTGGAGCAGGAAGGAACCAGAAAGTAATCATACTTCGCAGGGTTACTCTTCCGTAATTCTTTCATGCCATGTACATTCTGTTTCCATTATTGCCAAACGCAAGGAAACAATCAATAATTCATTGCTGTTAATCATGAGACACATTTAATGTTTCAACTAAATATTGACACTAAGCACAAAACAGTCACTGGAAATTTACAGAAAAAAAAACTTGAATATGGAAATCACATAAACAACCTGAAGAATATAAAGGATCACCAAAACGTTAGGCGTACTTAGCCGACTTTCAGGTGGGCTCACGATTCTGGACTCTTTGATCACATTTTTAACAGAAGCACGGCTCTTCATGACCTCACTCACCCCATAGCAAACAGTTCTGCCTTTAAAAAGTATTTTTAAAAATATACAAATACATTTGCTATATGATTTTAGACTATTGGCTTAAAGCCCCAAATGAACGAGTTTAAATCAAGTTCTGCTTCATTTTTGGACGAAGGAAATAACATCTCTAAACTTCATTTAAAGCAAAGGTAATACAACCTACGCAGGAAGTCAGGCAGCTGAAGTTAAAAGTTGTTGCTGCGGCACGTAACACAGGGTCTGACGTTTTATCAGCATTAATGCCGGTACTTACCAGCAATCCCTTCGAAATATATTTCTCACCTACTGACTCCACATAATTACAGCTTCTCGCCCTAGCTTAACCTCCAGCACCTGCAATCATCGCTTTGTGGCCTTGAGCCCTAAAATCCGTTTCTTAAATGGAGAGAGATCCCTCAAGAAGGAAATCAATACGTTTTCTGTTTCAAACCTTTGTGATACTCCCCATTACCCAGGATTAAATCCGAGCCCTTACCGTGGCCTTGAAGGGTTCTGTAGCTTGCCCTCTGACTCTCCCTGTGACCTGACCGAAATCGTTCTCCTCGCCAGTTACTCTCCAAAGGGACTGGCCTGTGTGCTGCTCCTTTAGGTGAGAACCCCAAGCTTCTCTGCGGGTGTGTGTGTGTGTGTGTGTGTGTGTGTGTGTGTGAGAGAGAGAGAGAGAGAGAGAGAGAGAGAGAGAGAGAGAGATACTGGGTGCTCTGGCACTAAACTATATCCCAATCCTTTTTTAATTGTTTTTTCAAATTTTGAGAGTGCCACGCAAAATTATGCAGGCAAAACTCAAAAGCTTGGGGTCCTCTCGCCTCAGGCCCTGGAAATTTTCAGTTCCCAACGCCTTTCCTGCAGATCCTCAAATGTCACCTCAAAAAAGCATTCTCCGATCACTCTTCACGCGGCAGCCTCGCGTCCACCTACACCACCTGTTAGCGCACGTGTACTTTGCTTACCCTTTGCAACGTAAGGATTTAAGAGTGTGGACTCCGTGGAGACCTGACTCCTTTCTCTTGCTGGACGCTGTCCCCTGCGTCCAACGCTAGAACCGTGCCGAGCGCGAAGTGCCCCGGTATGACTGAATGACCAATCAGACCTAGGATTCACCTTACGGTTTAGATCTAAAGCAGTGTCCCCGCAAGGTCCGAGTGGGGGTGGGCTTTTGAAAGGTGACGGGATTACGGGGGGATCGTACTGCGGGGTGCACTCATCTATTGACGAGTCCCCGCTGAATGTGCTGCCGGGTGGCGGCGGCTGGAGGACCTGTGTGACAGGTTCGCGCCGCAGGAGGGTCTGCGCCCTGCCCCGCCCTCCACTCTCCCGCTTCCCGGCCACCCTGAGGCGAGCCCCTTCCTCTCCTCTGCCGTGTCCTTCCGCCCCACTGCGCCTGCTTTGGGGTCACCCGACCGTGGGCTGAACCCACTGGCGACATCACATAAACCTCTCCCTTAAGAAAGGCGGGTGTTGAATACTCAGTGACAGGGAAGCTGACCGATGCCAGTAATTCCTGGCTTAAGATTTCATTCTGATTTTTAAAAGATCAGTCTACTGATGATATCTGAAGATGTCGCAGTCCGTATTACCGCTCCCCACAGCTGCAGGTCACTCCTCCTGCCAGGCCTTGGACTATGTCCATGCCCCTTTCTTCCGGGCTTGCCTACAGCTCTGACCAAGAAAATGCAGAGGAAGTAAAGATCTAGGACTTAGTTATATCATGAATTTAGCAGTAAAGGCGGGGGAAAGAGCTCAGAGGGCATGTGGGTAAGTACAACTCTTGTGGCCTGAGTTCTAAACTCTAAGGTCTATCATCTTCTGCTTGTTGCTTTTGGAGGCCTTGCAAGGTGACAGCACGTGCGGAAATACATGACACAGAGGGGCGTCAGCCCAGCTTACCACTTCATAGCAAGCGGTGAAAGACCCCAGGTGAGACCACACGACCGTCCAGCCACTCCACAGCGTTGTGGTCTAATAAAGGGTAGCGGTGAGCCTGTAAGTCTCGGAGTCATTTATCGTACAGTAATAGATACACAAAACCGTGCAAAACAATTTCACTTCCTAAGCAGAAGCATACCTTATAGCAATATTATAAATTGAGTGAAATAAATTGTTCAACACGCAGGCACCGAAGTTTTACTTGTCCATATACTCTGCCAGCTATTTCTTCCTATGTTGCGAAAACCGTAAGAGATGAATTATCCATTTAACCTCTTTGAATGGATCTGCTAACATTTCACAGAGTTCTTTGTGTCTATGCGTGGGGTGTTAGGGACCAAAGTCAGCTTCCTGGATGGCGGGGGAGTGAGTACCGCTGAGCTACAGGAACCCACCTGGGACTTCATTTTTTAAATATCTATTTCGACACAGTGGGGTCCGTGTTGTTACTCTTCCTTGGAGAGGGGCCCTAGGAGTCACACAGCATAGTTAATGCCAGGCCACATAGGACAAAGAGGTGTTGCTGATACTTGATTTGCTGCAAGTAGAATAAGATTCCTCCTCTCAACTCTTCCTTCTCCCAGGCAGCCTCTAGAAGGCGCTAGTGGGAAGTTGTGGAACTGCAGAGACAGGTGTTGGACGTGTTGGACGTTTATTGGTTTCTGGAAAATTTCTACCTATGGGAGATCTTGGGCCAAAGCCCCACCACCACACACACACTCCTGGTCTTTTCTCGTCATTCTGGAAGGTGATTTTAACTCTGGAGAGCTAAAAGGAACGATGAATGGGACAAGAGATTTGTTTCTTTTGCCCGAAGATTCTGAAAGAGGCAAAGCTGACCTTTAAGTTTATAGGTGGTCCACGCCCTTAATGGCCCCGGAATGGTGAGGGGCTTCTGGGCAGGTGTGAGTATAAATACAGATGTTAGATCTGACAGAAGCACAAAGCCCTTCTCTCTCTGCTGTGCTCCTTTTTTCTCTCTGCTTCTGCTGGGGATGGGGACAGAGCGGGGGTGGTGGCAGTGACTGTGAATACAGTGATTTTTTGTGTGGAGGAGGCAAGTGGAGTAGGATATAAATCAAGTAACACAGTGCTACCATCAATATTATTTCAGGGCTGGGGGTACAGCTCAGCGGCTTAAGCGCTTGCCTGGCAAACCTCAGGTCCTGAATTTGAGTCCCAGTATCAAAATATATATAAATTCAAACATTATTTATGTAGGTTTCGGTGGTATGTTCTGCACTATGTGCCATTGTTTATAATATTGTCTCTAAAACAAGTGAACCCTCTTGTCCTCGTTGCTGACCTACAAATGAGTTTGGAAAAGATTTACAAAGGGAGCGTTTTACCTCGATTCGCAGGGATGACCACCAGAGGGCATAACTGGATTAGGAAGGGAAAGAAACAGTAAGTCCCTGATTTAGGAAGGAGCTCCCTTCCTGGAGAACACCCCTAAATTGGATTCGTTTGTAAGTCCGACAGAGTGGGTCTTCTGTACCTTTGACACAAATACACGCATACAATGTAAAGCATGAGAAAACAGACACACACGCAAAAATACTGTAAATAAACTTTTTTACTTTACAGTTACCTTAAAATGGTAAGGTAAGCACCCGAGCTATTTCTGCGATTTGTTTGCATCTAGGAATGTTCATAATGTGAGGTCCCTT